CCGTGTAATTTCCAATCGTCTAAATATTTAAGCGATTCGTGACTGGAGCTCGGCTATAATTCAATTCTCGTTATGGTGCCGGCCTTCGATTTCAGCCCTTTGCTCTATTTTCATTTCGCATCCAGAATATTAACTTTTCCGGACGAGTGTCGCCTTAACAGCAAAGATCAGCATCATCAAGCAGTTAGAAAATCCAAATGCATTTATACACAATCCAACAATGCCCAGGTAAAAACGCCGCATTAAAATTCCAGTTTTAGTTAGAGCATGATTAACGTTCAAGGGTCAGTTTGCATTATTCATAGCAAAGTAAAGAAAGATTTGTCGCTTAGATAGTTAGATGTATGTGTCCCAAAGCAAAGCAAAGTAACGTTTCCATAAGATTTCAATATTGGGTTTGGAAACGCAAAGGTGCATTTGACTAACAAATGGACAGAATGAATTGTTTATCAGGCTGGCTGATCTACATTTCGATTTCTTAGTTAGCCACTCGGGTTAAGCAGTGCAGCATGCACACAACTTGCCATTATTTATGGGAATATTCTCCAGTAGACTTTGAAATGGGTCATAGGTGGATTAGTCAATTGCCCCGATCGCCTGCCTTATTGGGGATTCACTATTCAATAATTAGTGGCCGGTAAATTACTGTTATCGATCATAGTCGAAAAAGTCCATTCAATCGTCCTTCCACACCGTTTTTGCCTCCTAATAATACATTCCTGCTAAATGTATGTGTCTTGAATTATTAATCTCTTATACTTGGGTCTGGCTGAATTATTTATGCCAGTTTCTATATCAATCCCACTTTGACACGGAATAAGTTTTAGTCGTTATTGAATTGTTCGTTCACGTAGTACGGGGGGTTTATCCGTAATTACAAAGGACAAGTTTCCAGTCGACGTACACTTTTCTTATTCCTTACCTTTTATCTCGCAGTTTCCCAATCCCATTTTCATTTAATGGTTTTGTTTTAGGACGTTTTTGCCAGTTTAACGTGTTTTTGTGTGAACGATCAATTTTGGCATTTGTGGTGCTTTCTAGGGGTTTCAAAATATGTTAATCCTTGACTTGGAATGGGCGACTTGCAGGTTTACAAAAATGTTATGGCCCATGCTGGAATTTTCTTCAGATTGTTTTTTGGCGTTGATGATTTCTTGAATAGACATTAAAAAATTAATAAATAAAATGGAAGAGATTGGAACACCAAACTGTTATGGTTGCGATACTAGTTTGAACAATATATTTTTAATCAAATTCTGTATATTTTTCGTGCAAACTTTGTTGTTTAATTTTAAAATAAATTCTAAATTTACCGCATTTTTTCACAATTTGGCAATAGGCAATGTTATTAATTAATCTTCAGAAGTTCGCCTAAAAACATTTTTTTTTTGATTATCCAAGAGATAGACTTTCGAAACCATTCCTTGAAACTAGTGGGTGTTTCGGGGTTTTAGGAGGTCATAAAACAACATTTCTTCCTGACGTTTCCCATCTTCAGATATTTTGTTTGCTTGAACGTTTACCCTGTTCTGATGCGATTCATCGGTTTCATCTTTTTGATTGTTGTTTGGAACTCTGTTACGAAACTCAAAAGTATTTTATGGAGCGAAATCTTTGATAGCTTTTCAATAAAGAAAACGTCCTTCTCCTTGTTATTGTCTAAAGTGCTGTTCTTTAAAACGCCGCTTCAATATAGTTGCATTTTTTCGCCTTTTACGATTTTTTCCCCAAAAAGACGTGTTTTGGTCCATATGGCAGTTTGCCAAAAATCTAGTTTTTATGAAGCAGTTGCAATAAACAGCGTGTATTATTATTCGAGTTTTTGATTGAGAGAGACATTATTGCAAACAAATGCCTAAAAGGCAAACGGTTTGGCAAATATAAAAAACACGTTTCATCTAATTTATTGTACAGAATTTGTGACCGATTTTTATCCCGCATATCCTTTGAAACTGATTCGGGCTTATAGGCCGTCGGTCAAAACAATTTCCAAGTCACAAGTACGAGTGCTGCTGCACACTTGTTTGGAACTCTCAGTTTACTTCATTTATTTCATTTTATTTCATTTCAGTTTATTTCATTTCAGGGCTAAATAAACAAAACACCCAACATCCATCAATTCGCTTTATTAAAGAAAAGAACATTTTCATCTACCAGCTCTTCTTTTGACTCTTCCAGCGCGTCATGACTCAGAAAGAGCCCTCGCCAGCCCAAATGGTGCCCAGAGCGTATCCCACTCCAGTGCACCGGGACCCAGTGATGAGAGGTACCATTTCGTCCACGCCCAGTTTCCGGGACAAGGTTCCAGGCAAATCCGGATATCCATTGTTGCGCTTCCCTAGGAAATAAGATTGATTAGGTTTGGGTTTAGTTTGGTGGATCAGGCACCAATAATCTTGCCGATTTATTGTGACTTAAATAGTTTAGAGCCATTTAATCGGGGGTGAGTTAACACTTTTTTCTATAACTGGTGGTTGGTTTTGTTTTGCTGATATGTTGCAAAGGATCGGTTTTTTAGTTTCGTTTTGGCCGACCGCCCTTTAAGGTGTCAATTTCGGTTTACAATACATTCAATTTTGCCCGGCTGGTATTTATCAAATAAACGTGAAGCCCACGTTAACATGCATCGATTGTGTTATTTGATAAAGAATGAAAATAGCGGTGTGTTTAACGTTCGAAATGCATTTTCTGTGTCTAATTACCAAACAAACCAAGTGTTTATTTTATGTCGAATTTCAATTACGTTTGACCTCACACTTATCGATAATTATTTGTTGTACGGCGTTTTCTATTAAACAATGGACAATTTTGTTGAACATTATAGGACAGTATTGTTGGAATTATCGAGGACGAGTATTGGCTGAATATGTGGCTGACTTTTTACATATATTTTTTACAATGCATAAATCGATGGAAAACGTTTGTGGGCGTATTTATCATTCACGAATGACACTTTTTGGAGCGAAATAAAAACTGTTTGATAGTTTAACGCCTTTAAATATTAGGAAAATCTACACCTGTTACAATACACCACCTTTATCAGCGATCGCTTAAGGGTTGAAAGGAAAATGAGACACGCGATTGCTTCGCGGGGGACGGCGTTTGAGGGCTTTAAAATTTCACAGTCGGGGTATAGAAAATGTTAAACACTGTCAGACGTCTTTCAAGTATACGAGCCCGAGGCAACTTGCTTCAAGATCGAATTTCCGGGCGTTAACAACTTTATTTATTTAACACGCAGATAGCGCGAAATTCAGATCTTGTGTTTGCCATCATTTAAGACGTTTTATTGAAATGTTCAAGAATTCAATACGGCTTAGTATAGTCACTATTTTTAGCTGCAAATTGGAGAAACTCATATAAACAAACTGTACATAAATTGCAACATATATTTGTAATTGAGAGGTTGATTTTCGGTTGCCACAGGTTTGGATTATTCACATATAAACATGTAACATTAAACATAGTAATTACAAAAAAGAAGCGTTTGGGCTACGTTGATTTCCTTTCAACTGCGGAATTTGTGTAATTTTGATGTGTTTGCTCAATTCGGGGCTATACAGGATGTTTAGATAGGCAAAGGAGGCCGATAGTTTTCACTTGAATAAAGTAACTAGTTGAACTTAAATCATCAGGTTTTAGTAGACAAGCTTTTATTGTCAACTCTCGCAAATAGAGTCCACTCACTAAACCGGGTGTTCATGAAATGTAACTGCTTTTATTATGTTTTATCAGCTCATTAACTTCAGCTGAATCTTCTTGAAGTACGGTGAAAAGTTCCTGTTTTTGCTTCGTTCTCAAGCTACAGTGTCGAAATATGATTTCTCAAAAGTCTTTTATAATCCGAAATCTTTTTTAAAGCACACTATAAAGAAAAAGTCGGACCATTATTGGTAGCAAGCATTTACCTTGAGTTGAAAATTGAGGAGTCCTTTTTCTCTGATAAGTCGCTTCAAAAACATTTTTAAATCTCAATAATCGAAAGGGAAACTTGGTTGAAAAACACATAAAAGAATTAATCTATTGGTTTCTTGAATGCGGTTGTTTCAGTATCATTAAGGCTACCTCGATTGAAGAGTTTCATAGATCACTAACGTTCATTTTTTAAGTGTTTGCTGGAAAAACCTCAATGATGCCAAAAACGCAAAAATTAAATAGTTTCAAAATTTAAACAGCAAAGTGGTCCATACAGCTGTAAACCCTATAAATAAAAAAATCGAACAATTATTCGAAAAATGTGAAAACAATTCAAGGTAAATGAATGTCTTTTGAGGAAACTTTTCATATTAAGCAACAAAAATCTTGTGTATGCAAAAAAGCCAAAAATAAAAGTTGTTGAATCCAAAACGACTCAAGACGCTATAAAGACAAAGCTCGATGTTTTTACATCTTGGACACTCTCTAACTCAGTAACAAAGCGTTTTCACTACATTAAGTCAATTGACCCAGTAAACAAAAGCAGTCACTCTTTCTAAAACCCTCGGTATAGCTAAAGTGCGTTTATATACAGGGTATGTTAATTGTAAGACACACTTTTCCGTTGCTCAAAAATCGTCATTTTTAGCTCAATAAAGGCTGATTAGTAGTAAATGGTGTTAGTAAAATGAGATCAACTTACTGTGTAATGAAGAACACAAACATTAGTAGACAGAAACAGAAGCCGCTGGTCGACTGCATTTGGGGCACGCATGTGAAACACTATAGAGGTGGGGATGGTTAAATTAAATGACGTTTTTTGATGATTTTTTCTAAATAGCACTACAGCACTTGTTGCGGGTAGAGACCTCGCCTAACTATTGGTCAGTCAGCATGAGAGGCTTCCAAAACAGAACTGAAAATCGTTGCTCGTGTGCTTTCCACATCACTTCCTCACATAAAACATTTATTAACACAGATTGGTCACAAACAGATTTTCGGTTTCGGTTTAATACAGAAGCCCCCAACAATCAGCACGCAAACCCTGCAATATATTAACAAATATTAACACAAACAGCCAGTGATTGGTCTAATAACTTTGGTTTAATAACAATAGAAAATAAAAGGTACAATTCAATCAAGTACATACGCAATGTGTGTATCATATAAGGTATAATAAGTCTAATGTAGAGACTGGAATTAAAACAAAAAAAATCACCCAAAACAATTAAGGAGTAAAAGAAAACCTAAACAACAGAGGATGCGTACGCGCTTACGCCACGAACAAACATCATTGCAAAAAAACTTAATCAAAAACCAAAAGAAAAAAACAGGAACCCAGCATAACATTTAAATACAGAACATCCTTGTCTTAGGTTTTTAGATTGTAGATGTACAAGAAGGGCTTAGAGCAACTTACTGAACCCGGTTAAGTGCCGCTTCCTAAGCCCTCAGTGTAGTTCTACGTGGGTACAGCCAAAAATAGAACCAATATGGTGCCGAAAAGTCTTCAAACTTTCGTTAAGTCACTGTAAAAATTTACCATTGGTGGTACCACAAACAACAAAGTCGACGCTACGCCCCCCATAAAGTACCCTACTGGTTCTGATCGATTTTTCAAATTCATGACCATCTATTATCAATGTACAGGGCGATCGTGTGCGGATCGCAGTTAACTAGTAAAAATATTTCACAGTTCGTAAAAATAGCAGCTAAATCCTGAGTTGGGCACACTGCACTGGCGCGGTGTTATTTTGTACAAGGGAAATCGTACAAAATTATGTTTTTTTTGGGATGTACTGGCTTTTAGACAAATGGACAAAGTGCCGTTTGCGGCTCAATTGCAGCCCCAAACCGCCTCAATTATCCAATCCACATTTATTTAAACCTACTATATCTTTGGTTAATAGGGTTTCGCCGCCTCCTTGGCCCTTTTTAGCTGCACCTTCAGCCGTTTGGTGCCGATTTGGAACCCGTTCATCGCTGCGATCGCTTGCTGGGCCGAGTTCGCATTATCGAAGGACACGAACCCGAAACATTTCGACAAATTCGTCTGTTTGTCGATGAACACCTTTGCTGATATCACGGGACCAAACGGCAGGAACGTCGATGCCAAATCGGTATCGGTAAACTCCTGCGGCAGGTGGTAGATGAAGAGGTTGCAGCCTTCGGGACCTGCAAATTACACGAATGGATCAGTGGAAATGTGGAAGCGGTGCGGATCATGCTTTTACTACTTCATAAACTGGAAATAAGCCAACAAGCTGAACGGCTGCAGAACGCAATCCTGCAGATTTGGCAAGTACAGGGTCTTCCTTTGTAATTTGTCCTCCGGTTCGCAGACTCACATTTAAGAGACTCTGCATAGTCGCGTTTTGGTGAAGCAAAGAACGTAAGTTGAGATTTCAAATGAATTAATTTCTTAGTGAATAAAAAAAACTTGTCTTTTGATGTGCTTTGTACGAATATACAGGGTGTCCCGTAAGCAAATGATCAAATCGTCTGCGACATTCTTTCGAGATCGAGAGATTTATTCGATGGACTTTAATAGAACTTCCTGCGAATTTATTCTTATGAAAGATTTATATTTTGAAAAAACAAGCGAATTTATCCGCTTTGGCATTAAGGTAAATTCTTAGTCTTGGTACGAAAACTATCATAAGAGCCCAAAATTCAACAAAGGATCGACTCAAAAAAAATCAGCTGTTTCCAGCGACCAAATAAAAGGTTTTGCTAGTTTTTGAACCAGGACACTCAAATATTTACCTCTTTGCCAAGGCGGATCAACCTGTTTTTTGAAAATATGAGCTCTCCATAATAATAAATTCACAGCGAGTTTCGCTAAAATCCGTCGCATTATTTTTCCGATAATTCAGAAAACATATTTTTTTTCAAAACTTCGACCATGAGAGGAAACGCCGGACATTTTTTCTTAATAAAAGTTAGCTCAGATCGTGTTCTTTCCAGCCAAAGAATGTTGCAATGCTCTTTTAGTCGTGTGCTTACGAGACACCCTGTATAACTCCCTAGTTGCAATGATTTGCATGATTGATTCATTGAGCTAATCGCATTGAGGTAAAAACGATTATTTTTACCAGAAAATAAATTGAACTTTTTGTGGATTTAAATATACTTTGGCTCTTAACTTTTTGTATATTTGCTTAGTTTAGTTCGAAATAAATGGCACAAAACTGCTCGTAATAGATTTATTTGCACTTTGGCTTAATTGCTGATTTTCAAATTGTTTAAAACATCTATCACTCAAGGAATTTTGACAATCATTGAAATTTAAAACCCTTCATTAATAATGGCCTGCCGTCGTTTAAATTATATTTACTGCAAATTGTTTTCATTCGTTCATATAGGCTTTTTACATCTTCTTTTTTGACCGTTATTGCATAATTTTAATTAACATTTAACTGTCGATTAAAATCCAAAATAATGGGAATCGGCGTAAATGCAGCTCCGTTATATTAGTGCAGGCCAAATGTGTGTTATTTTAGCGTAAATAATTTTTTCCTGTTGTTAAAACATCGCTTGAGTGAAGGCATTTGTGGCATTTTAGTAGAAATAAGCCTGGTCGTATTGCGAAACTGAAAATGGAACTTGAAAGAATGAAAGCTGCCTCGCAGGGTTATGTATTACAAATAACTTTTTTGAGTGAGAGAATGAAAGAGGATTGCAAAACGAGAGCAAATTACAAAAAAGTACTCCGTACCTTCTACCTGGAAAAAAACTGCTGGCTTTCGTTTACCCAAACTCCTGTACAGCCCCTATATGTTAATCTACCCCAGACAGTCCCCTCCAAGATAAAAACAAGCTATCAACAATGAATTTAAAACTAGCTAGTATCTCCAGTCTAATCTCTAATGTCGTTAATCATATGTCGTGCAGCAAGTCTTTGGCAGCGTTTTTTCGCTCTAATAGTATAAATTCCTGAATGAGTTGCATGCATATAATGCAGGCGCATGCAGAAATCAGCCAATGCGAACAAAGTCAGAAGAATTTGCTATAAAGGCACAATGTAGACACGTTCAATAGTTTAAGTTTATTCCATCAAGCTTCTAGTTTTTCAAAATATTCAGAATAATAAATGCAAGTTTTTAGGCCCAAAACGCCTAAAACCTAAAAAAATACTGCGATGCGATGCTCCTCTACTATGCATCCGGCAATGGCAAGAAAAATCAAAAGATTCTAAGTTGATAGTCTATATAGCATACAGCACAGCAGTGAGCGAGAGTTTTTATCAATCTTGTACATACGCTGTTTTTGTTGTTTTTCTTTTAACAGTCTTCTCCTGACAGCTAGAAGGCATAAAATACCTTATTTGAGTGATTACATTCTGTTCAAAGGCCCATATATTAACAAAAATTCTTAAATAAAATCGAGTACCTACACCTTTAAAGGAATTTTTCTGGCATATATGGCTGAAATCATCAATATTTGCAGTTAGCAACAGCAATAAAAATTATCGCTTATTCACCATTGTAAAGCAAATACGTCCATTAAAAATGATTATTGTTTCCAATAGTTCGTCGTAGAACTGCATTGAACAGTTTCGTATTATGTCGCTGTCACGAAGCATTTTTCCATTGTATACCTTGATTAACATACGCGATGTACGAAAGAAAAAACGTGTACAAAATTTAATATTTTCTAGTTCTCTTCAAAACGTTTTTATAAATTTCACCAATAAAATATGTTTTTCAGAGGTTACAGGTGAAAGTATTGCGTTTTTTGCGATGCAATTTATTTGCTAAAAGGGGGGGTGGTTAGATTTTCACAATTTTTTTGTCCGTTAAACCCCCGGTAATCGAGCTACTTTGGATGGCAAAATACATTTTCCCCAGCGTTTTTCCATCAACCACTAATCAGTCAATAAACTATTTTCAAACCGTTATATCAAATGCGTTTTTATATCATTCCTGAAACTCTTTCCTATTTCCAGTGTCGTGCCCTAAGGTAGTCATTGTCGAACTCCAAAAAAAAATTTTGTTTGGTTGGTTTCCAATAGCTTTGACCTTAAAAATGCGTCTTTTTCCAATTTGACCTTTGAGGAACATCCTGCCGAATAGACAGCGCCAATTACGCGATTGCTAAATGATGATCATGTCCAAGACGATTGGCAAATTGATGATGGTTGACACCGGGCAATAGAAATTGGTAGCACGCACTGAAATATCGATACACAACAATAAGTGCCGACCTTCGGTTTCTATTATGCAAATTATTCACAATTATTATTGGTCACATTGAGTGAAAGCGTAGCGAACGACACTTTTCGTCAATTGATTGATAGATTGTTTTGGGCCGAGAACGCGGAAAATATTTTGCATTAAGCAAAAGGACAATCATGTAAAGTTAATTTTCTCGGGCGAGAAGCAAGTGAAACATATTGTGAGCGATAAAGTTGGGCAGTAATTTTTCCGGGATCAAATTGCGCTCCTGCAGAAAACCCTGGTCATAATTTATCAGCGATTCGTTTCGCAAATGCACATCCGTAGCTCTTTGTTTCGTTTTATTGGGTAATTTGTTGGTCACCTAATGATCTTTTATTGAATTGTTACGTATTACTCGATCGGACTAGTCGGACGAGTTCAGTTGCCATTTTCGTGGAAATTGTCCCATTGGCGTAGATTGCAGGTGAATTGTGATGTGAAAAATGCTCAAGTATTGTATTTTTAGCGTACAATATGATAACATTTACATTTACATACACGACATTTATTACATCAATGGAAGCATGCCAAACGAAAATTCCAGTCGCTAAATCAGTTAGCTTTGCCATGAATGCGTGCATTGTTCACCTAGACGAAAACAACAGACTCTCACTCTCCTCCTCTCATTTACTTGTAGATGAATCCCCGATGTAACGCTACTGCGTGAAAATAACGTCCACTTTAACTGAAATCAGCGAGTTTTATCGTTTACCTCCTTGATTTGTTGAGGCATTGTCAGAACAGAAAAAAACGCTGCGCTCGCTACTTTACTGCCTGATGGGCTGGAGACGAAAGCAGGAAGAGGCAGAAAATCCATTGTCAAGATTTGTTTGGATTTTATTCGGTACACCCTCCTCGCTTTTGCATTAGTCTTGTTGGTGTTCAATTTTGCGCCCATCAAAAGTTATGTGCAACCATACTTTATGGGCGCAAAACATTTTAATAAACGGAAACATAAAGCTAAATTGGTTTCGCACAGCGTAAATGAGGGCAAAGGCCCAGGGCTGCCATAACAGTCCAATTATGATCGTTATGCTCCCAACTATTTCCACTAAACAGGGAATGTGGACTTAATAAAGAGAGCCACGATCTAGAATTTAGCTTCTTTTGCTGCTCTTCTAGATGGAAGTCAGTTGCTTCGTCTTTTCGTGTCTTTCACGGTTCCAGATTTGTTAGATGTCGATTTGGCTTTAAGTTTCGTTCATTTGAACCATTATTCAGATGTGCTTTATAAACCTCAAAAATTGACTTGATTAGTTGATGTTTTTGAAGTGCAAAAAATTAAAGAATGTTGCGGCCGTTCAACTAGAAGAACCAAGTTTCTTGGATTTTTCAAAGCTCAAAACTTGTAATAAACTTGCGCGATTATTTGTCGCAAGTTTAACGTTGAAAATCACGATTTTTTACTCAGGCAAGCAGACAAGAGCTGTTGCAAATTAGTGGATAAAAAGTGTTTTTTAAAATCCTGGCGATGATGCGATCGATGAAAAAATTTTGGAGAATTTTCCCTTCAATTTCAGCTGCTTTAAGAACCTCAGAATATAGAACGATTCACCATCAAAACTGAATTCTCAGCCTCGGGTATTTTCGTAAAAGTAGCAAAAATCCACCAAATTATTTCATTTTGGAAAAACTAGTCTCCTTTTTGCAGAGAGTGTCATGAATTCAGTGATTTCCATAAATGTAGAACATTTTCTGCAATGTGAAATTACACTCGCATTGACATTCTTTAATTTTTTTAAAGTAGAACGAGCTGACAGAGGTGTTTTCGAAAATTTTCCCTAAAAGCCTTAAATGCTCACCCATTTGCTTACCTTTGAGCATATTCGCATTGTATCAAGCGGCTCTAAAACTTGCAATAAACTTGCGCGATTATTTGCCGCAAGTTCAGCGTTAAAAACCCTGATTTTTTGACTCAAACAAGTACAGACAAGAGCGGTTGGAAATTCGCATTTG